ACACCAATCAGAAAGAATATATGCCCTCTATGTTCATAGCAGCACAATTTACAATAGCTAAGATCTGGAAACAGCCCAAGTGCCCATCAGTAGATGAGTAGATAAAAAAGCTGTGGTATATCTACACCATGGAATACTATGCAGCGATAAAAAAGAGATATTTTACCCTTTGAGACAGCATGGAGGGACCTGTAGAGTATTATGCTAAGTGAAATAAGCCAGACAGAGAAAGACAAGTATCACATGATCTCACTCATATGTGGAATCTAATGAACAAATATAAACTAATGAGCAAAAATAGATCCAGAGACATGAAGCATGGAACAGACTGTAAATCTCAGAGGGAAGGTGGGGGTCAGTGGGTGGAAAGAGATCAACCAAAGAAATTGTATGCATATATATATGCATAACCCATGGACACAGACAATAGTGTGGTGAAGGCCTGGGGTGGGAGGCGGGGGCGCGCTAGATGGGGTCAATGGGGGAGAGGGGAGTAGACATATGTAATAATTTCAACAATAAAGATTTTTTTAAGAAAGAAATATTATTCCGCCTTAAAAAGTAAGGGAATCCTGCCACTGGCTAGACCATGAATGAAACTTGAGAACATTATGCTACATGAAATAAGCCAGTCACAAAAACAAAATACTGCATGATTTTGCTAAAAGAGGTATTTAAAGCACTCAGATTCATAGAAACAGAAAGTACAATTATGGTTGCCAGGGGTAGGGGTAGGATGGGGGAGGAAATGGGAGTTATTTCTTAATAGGTATAGAGTTTCAGTCTTGTAAGATGATGAAGTTCTAGGCATCTGTCATACAACAATGTGCATATAGTTAATAGTATTGTAGTGAACAATTAAAAATTATGGTGATAATTTTTCTGTTATATATTATTGTTGTTTTCTTTTTATGATATATATTTTTATTGTAATCTATATATATAAAAGCGTAAGTGACCATTACAACAGAATAACCGAAATGACCAGAATGAGCAGTTGCTATGATGCACATTGACCACTAGGGCAGACGCTTAACAAATATAAACTAATGAACAAAAATAGATCCAGCTTAATGCAGGAGCTGGCCCCAGCCTGCAGGCCCTGATTGCCAATAGGGCCTGCTGGTCAAATTCCCGGGTCTCTTCCCACATCCCTCTCCTGAGCTAGCAGGCCGCGATCAGCCTGCCCTTCACCTGCTTCAATTGGGGCCTGCTGGCCAACCTCCCAGTTCCTCCCCCCAGCTGGCAGGTCTCTATCACCGATCAGGGCCGGACCCCGGGCTGGGACAGGGAACCAGGGGTGGGTGGTGGTGGATGCGGGTGGCAAAGGAAGGAGGGAGGTAGGGGGGAGAGGGGGACGAGGGGAACCGAGTGGTGGCTGTGCATGGGCGGCGAGGGAAGGAGGAAGCAGGGAGGCGGGGAACCACAAGGTGGTGGTGTGTGGGCAGCAAGGGAAGGATGAGGTGGGGAGGTGGGGAGGTGGGGAGGCGGGGAACCTGATCAGCCCTGATTGCTGGCCAGGCCTAGGAACCCCACCCATGCACGAATTTCGTGCACTGGACCTCTAGTAAAAAATTTTAAAAAATAATAATACAAAAAAACAAAGGGTCCAGATGACAGCATCATGCACCAGTAAAACACCCTGTGCTGACAGTCAGTTTCATGCTGCAACTAAGTACTTTTATAGCCTGTAACTCTACCCTGAAGGGGCTAGGTAGCAAGCCTCAGACCTCAGGAGAGATTGGGAGGCAAGTGAGCAGTATTTCATGAGTCTCCATGCTCTTACATTATGAGAAGATCATAGAACTTTCTGCCAAGACACAACATGTGGCCTTTGTGTTATCATGCAGGGTTGTCAGGATGCCATGGCTCAGTCATTACCCTACAGGGTATAGGAAGTGAAATCTCCAAGGCTACAGACTCTAACTTTTTACTATGTTTTAGATTAGGAAGTTGAAGATTAAGGGAAATGGACGTGTTTCCTTTACTCTTTTAATTACATATATCTTACAAATAAAAGCCATGCTATTTATATATCATTAGTTTCTTTTGAGATTTTAATTTTATTTTCAACCACAGTTTTAATTATTTTTTTAAATTCTTAGTCTTTCTCAATTTTCTCTCCATGTGACTAAAAACCAGTGACATGACTAAATTTTTGCTTAAACAGTAGCACAGAATGTCCTGTGAAATTCACCCAAAAATTTATATTTTTCTTTGGCTAGCTCTTAGAAAATTTAATATTTGGTAGATTTTACTTATTTTTTTTATGTGCCTCAGGCATGAAACAGCTCTGGCCACCGACACAGGCATCAAGCTAGGATGAACTAAGGACTGTACATCTGCTTTGCCCCTGACTGATATAAGAGCAACACCACCAATCAGGTGTCTCCTTGCCCATTGCCAGGGGGTGCTTATATTTTGAAGTTAACTTTAGATTTGACAGACTGGATCAAGATGTTTTCTTTTTTAATTTATTTATTTTCCAATTGCAGTTGACATACAATGTTATGTTAGTTTCAGAAATTCAAGATAGTGGTTAGACATTTGTATAACTTGCAAAGTGATCACCCAATAAGTCTAGTACTCATCTTAAATCATACATAGTTATTACAATATTATTGACTTTATTCTCTATGCTGTACTTTACATCCCCATGACTGTTTTTGTAACTGGCAATTTGTACTTAATCCCTTTCACCTTTTTTACCCAGTCCTCCAATCCCCCTCCTATCTGGTGACTATCAGTTTGTTCTCTGTATCTATGAGTTTGTTCCTATTTTGTTTTTTGTTTGTTTGTTTTTCAGATTCCACATATAAGTGAAATCATATGGCATTTAGCTTTCTCTGAAAAACTTACTTCATTTAGCATAATATCTTCTACATCCATCCATGTTGTCTCAAATGGCAAGATTTCATTCTTTTTTATGGCTTAGTAATATTCCATTGGGTGTGTGTGTGTGTGTGTGTGTGTGTGTGTGTGTGTACCAACTCCTTTTTATCTATTCAACTATCTATGGACACTTAGATTGATTTTATATATTGGCTATAGTTAATAATGCTGCAATGAACATGAGGGGGGGCATATATCTTTTTAAATTAGTGTTTTGGATTTCTTCAGTTAAATAACCAGAAGTGGAATTTCTGGGTCATTTGGTAGCTCTATTTTTAATTTTTTGAGGAACCTACATAATGTTTTCCATAGTGGCTAAACCAATTTGAAATCCTAGCAATAGTGGATGAGTGTTCCCTTTTCTCTACATCCTCACTAATGCTTTTATTTGTTGATTTATCAATAATACCCATTCTGAAAAGTATGAGGTGATATCTCACTGTGGTTTTAATTTGCATTTCCCTGATGCTTAGTTATGTTGAGCATCTTTTCATGTCTGTTGATAAGGGATTTATATAAAATCTAGGGGCCCAGTGCATGAATCCGTGCACCTTGAAAGGAACTGTGGGCTGCGAGGACGTGGTGGGTATGCCATGCCGGTACAGCCAAGGGTGATCCCGAGTGGGGGGGTGAAAGGATTAAGGAAAGACAGACAAGAGAATGAAAGCTGGGTCTCGGTGGGACGCTGCTCCCTGATGAGGAGACAGCGCCAGCACCCACAAGCCGTGTCTTTATTTTATAGCAAAAGTGTTTGGACCATAGGTTCAAGCTTACAACCACAGCTGTTGGCTATAATTGTGCTGGGAGGGCCCTGCCCTCAAGCTGGGACTTTCACGTGGCAATGAGAGGACCCTGTCCTTTCATTAGTCCGAGACTTGAACCTGGCCGAAACACTGTAACTGCGCCCCACAGGTGGGCACTGGGGCAAGTCTCGGACCATCCCCCATGCCCCCACTTGGCCCCTCCCACCATGGCCTCCAGTCCCCTGTCTGCCAGAAGCCCTGCTTCTGCCTCCACCACTCCCACAGGCTGACAGCACCAGCAACTGCTGATGGTGCGGAGCAATTGGGGCCAGCGCCAACAGCATGCAAGCAGGGTCAGCACCGTCAGCGAGTGCTAGTGGTAACTGCTGCCCCGATCACCCCTCAGGAGCAGGGGGAGGTGGGGAAGCCCTCAGGGGCGATAGGGGCCAGCAGCCACTGCTCGCACCCACTGCCGGCGCTGAGCGATTGGGAGTGGTGCCGAGCGCCGGCAGTGGGTGGGAGCAGTGGCTCCAGCTGCAGGTATAAGTTGGGTTGGCACTGGCAATGTGTGTGAGTGGCCGCTCCGGTGCTGGCAGTGGGTACGAGCCGTGGCTGCCGGCTCTGATCACCCCTCAGGAGCTGGGGGAGATGGAGAAGCCCTGAGGGGTGATTGGGGCTGGAAGCCATCGCTTGCACCCACTGATGGCACCGAGCGATCAGGGCTGGTGTCAGGTGTAGGCAGCGGGTGTGAGTGGCGGTTCCGGCACCTGCAGCAGGTGCCAGCGGGGCTGATGCTGGCAGCAGGTGCAAGTGCTGGGCGGGACCGCAGCACGTGGGAGCAGAGAATTTTCAGTAACCACCAGAGGCTTGCCCTGACAGTGACTGGCACCCTGCCTTGGTTTGGCGCCCCTGCTCACCTGCTCCACCATCCTTCCGTGGCCAATGCCTGCCATGTTCTGTGCTCTACCGCCTGCTGCCGATGCCCGCCATGTTCCGCGCATGCCCCCTGGTGGTCAGCGCATGTCATAGCGACCAGTTGTTCGGTTGTTTGGTTGTCCCGCTGTTTGGTCTATTTGCATATCAGCCTTTTATTATATAGGATATATAAGGAACTCATACAACTCAACACCAAAAAGAACAAATAATCTGATGAAAAATATGTGCAGAGGACCTGAATAGACACTTCTCCAAAGAGGACACAAGGATGGATCAAGATGTTTTAACTGATAACAATAACTAGATTATAGACTTCCTGAGATCTGCAACAGTCTTGAATTTTATTCTATAAAAGATTATATTGCATTGCAGAGGTTGTTAGTTGTCTTTTTTCAATAAAATATTTTTCTTTTATCTTTTATTAAATAGAGACACAGTCCATATTACTGTGAAATTCAACAGTCGCTTCCTCCATCCTGCCAAAGCTTCACTAATACTAATTTCAGTACCTAATATGGCAGTGGGAGGCACTACAATGATTTTTTCTCTTAAGGGTGAAGTCCGCAAATTTAATTCCATGGTAAGTAAATTTTACCTATTTTGTATGTCTTTGCTTCTCTTCTCATGCCATTGGGCATCCCAAGCATAGCTCTTTTTCCTGGGCCTGTGTCTGCTTTTATTTGAATTAAGGGTTGGTGGTTTACACGGCAAAGAACATTCTTTAATTTCTCTTGAGTGTCCTGTGTATCAAAGGCATTATAAAGATAATGCTAAGGCTGGGATTTATTGAGAAGTGATGATGTCCCAGAGGGAGAAGGATTTTTGAATTTTCTGTAACATAAATGTGACATTGCTATGATTGACTTTTTATAGTCAGTATTCTGGTTAAATGTTATGTCCTACCATGGACATATGGTAAAGAAGAAGTAAATTTGTTATTGTGCCAGATTTCCATATGGAGTATAAAGAATTTTAGGTGTGCAGTGGCATGAGTAGGAAGTAAGTAGAAGGACTCTAATGATGGTCAGTTTTGTAAGGAGAACATTAAGATGTTCACATGGACAGACTGGCTTATTAGATAATGACACCTAGAGTAGGAAGCAGGCATTTGATTGTCACTGAGATATGTATTATGATCATCTGATTTTCTCCTGAATAATGAACTCTTACACTTCCCAATCCTTTCACACAAATTTTCTGAAACAAAACGTTGCTATGCCACATGTATCTAAGAGACATGGATGGTTTTAGCCGGTCATTAACATGGCTACAGGGCAGAAATGCTGACACTTGAAACTCATGTGGTCTCGGTTTACTGCTCCATCTGAATACTCATGGTCTTAGTTACCAGGAGGTAGAGCGGGTAATAATGGAGAAATAAAAGAAGGTAAGAACACCATCAGTCTGAAAATGTAGAATTCCTAGAATCTTTTCCTCTAAGGAAAGCCATTGGGTAATTTGCATTATAAATTTTGTTTGTACTTTTATTATGTTAAAAATATGTCAGTGTAAGCCACCATCTTATAAACACAGGCATATCACACTCACACACATACACAGATAGGTATTCATACACTCACACACCTGTGTGCATACACACACACATGCCTCTTTTTTATGTCATGTTATTAAGTATGTATAATTAATATAATTAATTTGAAAATGCTCAGTCATTAATAAAAATATTTTAAGGAAATACATTTGGGAGATAATATTATGACAGATAGTTCAGTTGTAGCAAAAGTACTGTTGATCAGTGATGAGGTAAAATATAAAATATGTTTTTATTTCTTCCCACTCAAATTTTTTTTCAGTGCAATGTTTCTGGGACAAAGGGACTTATATAAATTAATATCATTGTTATATTTGAATAAACAGGTTTTTAGATGCTTTAAGCTTTTATTTTATGATTCAGGTTATCTTTTTTTGTTCTTACCATTTAGTATGTCTTTATTTATTTATTTATTTTTTACTTTAGAAAATGATAAAATGCAATAGCCCGTGTTATACATGGAAAGAAATCACTGTGAACATTAAAAATCCTTTCCATACTGCTGGTGACTTTATGTAAGTTATTGTTTTAATGTAATTTTATTACAGTTAACTATATCCAATCTTATTGGAAATACATAATTTTCTTCAACAACAATTTTGAGAATTTTTTTGTGTTTACATTGCTATAAATTTATAAGCATTATCAGATAAAATAGAACAACTAATAAAGTAAACCAGTTTTCCTTGAAATGTTATTTGATCTATACAAAACTAAGACTGGTAATATCAAATTTATTAATTTTGTGTATGTTTTATTTTTTGAAATCTTTCAATTTTAAAAATTTTATAGTTAACATATTTTATTTCTAAATTTATTTCATCTGTTAATTTCCAAAAGAGAAATATCTATTCAAGCAAAAAATTCCTTTTTACTTAAAGCATCATTGTTGATTAAAACTATACATTATGTATATATTTGTGCATCTAGAGATTTAACAATAGCAACAACATATACTTGAGGTTAAAATATAATAAAATGCTTAATTACTGTTTAAGTTCATAATAGTAAAGTATCTTGCCATATATTTACATGCTGTGGGAGAAGATGGAGAATGATACCTTATGTACTGCTTAAATTACTCTCTTTCCATCAGCTTTAGAAATCAGATCCTCATAACAATACTGGTGTTGAAACCATAAGTTGTATGCATGCTTAATACTGTTTGATAATTTTTAGTATTTAAAATCACTGCATGTCTAGGCTTTTGGAAGTATCTTCTTAACAATATCATTTATTGTTGAGAAAACAAAAATTCTTTTGTTGAACAGTTATTGGTGAATTTATGGTTCCCAAGTTCTCTGAGGGAGAATTATATTTACTATAATTTTATTAAATGTTATATTGCAATATAAGGCACAAAAAAATGTCAGAAATGTATCATTAATCCAGTATTAATATTTTCCCTTAAATGAACCAAATGGCTGACTGCAGTTTTTTAGAGGAAATCAGGATCAAACATATTAAACATTGCATTCTAGTGGTAGAGTTGAAAGAAAATCTCAAAGTTTAAGGAATTGGTAGAATATTATACTTGTATGTTTCTAAAAAAATCATAATATTTTATTTTTACTTTATAGTTTATCTCAAATCACATTAAAATTGTTACTTCTTGTGTAGGGCGCATGGTTTGGTAGAGGAGAAGATTGTTAATTGGGGTAATTTGACTACTTCCCCTTTGTATAAATGTGGCCCTTAAACTTAGGCAAAAATTGAAAACTCAATATTTAAAAACCAATCATAACATTTGAAAAATCGATATTTTATAGTAGGCATATATGATTTAAAAATTTTAAATAATAAAATACATAAGAAGGGAAATTTTATGGCAATTAATTCATATAGACTTACTAAATTTTATATTTTTGTTGTTGAAAGTATGACATGTCTCCCTTCCCATGCCCAGTGACCCCATCTTCTCCACTCCCTACCCCACTCCAGGTCTTCACCACACTATTGTCTGAGTCCATGGATTTTGCATATATGCATATAAGTTCTTTGCTTAATCTCTTCCAGTCCCCCTTTCTTTCTGAGAATCATCATTCTGTTGCATGCTTCCATTGTCTATGGAACTATTTTGCTTATCAATTAACTTTTTTCATTAGATTCCACATATAAGTGAGATTATGAGATATTTGTCTTTGGCTTATTTTGCTTAGCATAATACTCTCCAAGTCTCTCTATGTTATATCAAAGTATAAAAGATCCTTCTTTTTTACAGCTGCATAGTATTCCATTGTGTAATTATACCACAGCTGTTTTATCCATTCATCTACTGATGGGCACTGGGCTGTTTCCAGATCTTAGGTATTGTAATTAATGCTGCTCTGAACATAGGGGTGCATATATTCTTTCTGATTGGTGTTTCAGGATTCTGAAGATATATTCCAAGAAGTGGGTTCACTGCGTTTAAACGGAAGTTCCATTTTTAATTTTTTGAGGAAACTCCACACTGTTTTTCATACTGGTTGTACCAGTTTGAATTCCCACCAGCAGTGTACCAGTGTTCCTTTTTCTCCACATCCTCGCCAGCACTTGTTAGTTGATTTATTGATGGTAGACATTCTGGTAAGTGCTAGGTGGTACCTCATTGTTGTTTTAATTTACATCTCTCTGATGATTAGTGACATTCAGCATTTTCTCATATCTCTTGGGCATTTGTATGTCCTCTTTGGAGAAGTGTCTATTCAGGTCATTTGCCAATTTTTTTAAATTGGATTGTTTGTCTTCCTTTTGTTGAGCTGTATCAATACTTTATGTATCTTGGAAATTAACTCCTTATCAGATACATCATTGGCAAATATATTCTCCTATACAGTGGATTCCATTTTCATTTTGATGCTGGTTTCTTTTGCTATGCAGAAGTTTTTTAGTTTCATGTAGTCCCATGTGCTTATTTTTCCTTTGTTTTTCTTGCTCGTCTAGACAATGTATCGGTAAAGATGTAGCTATAAGAGATGTCTGAGATTTTGCTGCCCGTGGTTTCTTCTAGGATTTTTATGGTTTCATGACTCACATTTAAGTCTTTTAACCATTTTGAGTTTATTCTTGTGTATGGTGTAAGTCAGTGGTCTAGTTTCTTTCTTTCTTTCTTTTTTTTTCTCATGTACCTGTCCAATTTTCTCAGCACCTTTTATTGAAGAGACTGTCTTTCCTCCATTGTATGCTCTTGCCTCCTTTGTCAAATATTAATTGAGCATAGTGGCTTGGATCAATTTCTGTGGTTTCTGTTCTGTTCCATTGATATCTATGCCTGTTCTTGTGCCAGTACCAGGCTATGTTGGTTATAGTGACTTTGTAATACAGCTTGATATCTGGTATTGTTATCACTCCCCCTTTGATCTTCTTTCCCAAGATTGCTGCAGCTATTTGGGATCTTTTTGGTTCCATATAAATGCTGGGAATATTTTTTCTAGATCTGTGAAATATGTCCTTGATATTTTAATAGGGATAGTGTTGATTCTATAGATTGCTTTGGGTACTACAGATATTTTTCTGATGTTAATTCTACCAATCCATGAATGAGATATATTCTCTATTTGTTTATATCTTCTTCTATCTCTTTTTTCAAAATTCTGTAGTTTTAAGAGTACAAGTCTTTTACCTCCTTGGTTAAGTTTATTCCTAAATATCTTAATGTTTTTGTTGCAATGGTAAATGGGATTTTTTTTTTTTTTGGTTTTTGTTTGTTTGTTTTTTGTTTCTCTTTTTCAGAGTTCATTATTAGTGTATAAAAATGCGATCAATTTCTGGGTGTTAATTTTGAATCCTGATCCATTGCTGACTTCATTTATTAAATCTAGTAATATTTTGGAGGAGTCTTTAGGGTTTTCTATGTACAATATCATGTCATCTGGGAATAATGACAGTTTTACTTCCTCCATTCCAATTTGGATGCCTTTTATGTTTTCTATTTCTTTGTTTTGGTAAACTTATTTATTTTTTAAATATATTTTTATTGATTTCAGAGAGGAAGGGAGGAGAGAGAGAAAGAAACATCAATTATGAGAGAGAATCATTGATCGGCTGCTTCATACATGCCCCCTACTGGGGCTCCAGCCCAGAACCGAGGCATGTGCCCTTGACCAGAATCAAACCCGGAACCACTCTTCCAGTGAGCCAAACCAGCTAGGGCTATGTTTTCTTCTTGTCTGATTGCTATGGCTAAGTCTTCCAGTACCATCTATAATAATAAAAGCATAATATGCTAATTATACCAGACATCCTTCCGGAAGACCTTCTGGATGAAGCTGGGGCTGTGAGGGAAGCCTGGGTCCCAGGTGCCTGCCAATGGCGGGAGGGAAGCCCGGGTCCCAGGTGCTGGAGGGAAGCCAGTGCTGGCAGCTGGGGGAAGTAAGGCCTACTCTTGCATGAATTTCATGCATCGGGCCTCTAGTCTTGAATAAGAGTAGTGAAAGAGGACAATCCTGTCTTGTTATTGTTCTTAGGGGAAATAGTTTTAGTTTTTGCCCATTGTGTATGATGTTGGCTGTAGGTTTCTCATATATGGCCTTTATTATGTTGAAGTATGATCCCTCTATCCCCACTTGCTTAGAGTTTTTATCAAAAATGGGTGTTGGAGCCCTAGCTGGTTTGGCTCAGTGGATACAGAATCTGCCTGTGAACTGAATGGTCCCAGGTTCGATTCTAGTCAAGGGCACATGCCTGGGTTGCAGGCTCAGTCCCCAGTAGGGAGTGTACAGGAAGCAGCCTACTGATGTTTCTATTTTTCTCCCCCTCTCCCTTCCTCTCTGAAATCAATAAAATATATGTGTGTGTGTGTGTGTGTGTGTGTGTGTATGTATGTGTGTATGTGTGTGTGTGTGTATATATATATATATATATATAATTTAAAATGAGTGTTGGAGTTTGTCGAGTGCTTTCTCTGCATCTATTGGTATGATCATGTGGTTTTTGTCTTTCAATTTGTTTATGTGAAATATCATATTTATTGATTTGCAAATATTGTACCAGTCTTGCATCCCTGGAATAACTCCTACTTGGTCATGGCATATGATCTTCTTAATATATTGCTAGATATGATGTGCTAATATTTTGTTGAGGATTTTAGCATCTATGTTCATCAAGAATATTGGCCTGTAATTATCTTTCTTCGTAATATTTTTTCTGGTATTAGAATTAGAATAATGCTGGCCTTGCAAAAAGAGTTTGGAACTGTTCCTTCCTCTTGGATTTCTTGGACTAGTTTGAGGAGTAGAGGTGTTAGTTATTCTTTGTATATTTGGTAAAATTCCCTTGTGAAGCTTTCCAGACCAGGGCTCTTGTTTGCTGTGATTTTTTTGATTACTGCTTCAATTTCATCAGGTTTTATCAGTATTTCAGGTTGTCTGATTCTTCCTGACTCAGTTTTGGAAGGTTGTATTTTTCTAGGAATTTGTCTATTTTGTCCAAGTTGTCCAACTTGTTGGTATATGGCTGTTCATAGTATTTTCTCAAAATCCTTTGTATTTCTGTGGTGTCAGTTCTTACTTCACCCCTTTTGTTTCTGATTTTA